GAGGGGGCGGGGCTGCATGAGGGGGCGGGGCTTCCCGTCTCACTTCCCCTGTCCTCTTCGCTTCCCAAAGGCCAAGAAGCTGCAGGAGGAAGCCGAGACACTGAGACTGGACTCGAGCTCCAACAGAGCTCTCTCAGGGGGCCTCGCTCACCCATCAGCATCACAGCCTCAGAATATATTTTTTAACGGGAAATATTAAGAGCCAGAAGATGTTACAGCACTGATGACAGCATCTTCAGACGTGGGGAACTGGCTTTTGGCAGGGGGACTGATGTCAGGTGCTGGGTATTGTCCTTGTGATTTATTTCACAGGCACCTGTTGTTTTTAAATAAACCTGAGTTTCTTTTCTGAGGCTGTAGGAGGCTTAAATTGCATTAAAAGGAGAGTACTGTGAACACCACGTGTTTTTCATCTCTTCCCTGTGTTTCTGTCAGTCTAGGTGATAGAGTGTTTGACACCCTGGGGGCAGCCTAGTGACAAATGTGACCACAGTTTGCAGGAACCTGTCTCCTGGTGGAGGGAAGGGCAGAGTCCCTGCAGTCCCAGCATTCACCCAGGTCCCTGCCAGGCAGAGGTTCACCTTTGGCCTAGACATTGCCAGTGTGACTGCCGGACTGTACATTACTCCTTTTATTTAGGTTAGTTTTGCTGTATGTATTTTGGAACTGCGTTATTAGATGCCTCCAGTTTATGTTGAGCAAACACTGTGGACTTTTCTCTACCTCTCCTTTTTACTCCTTACCTTGAAGTCTGCTTGTCTGATGCTAATGTAAGCCTCCCACTGCTATTTTGTTGGCGTAAAACATCTTTCATTGTTTGCTTTCAATCTTCCTGACTTCATGTCTCAGTGCATCTTGTGGAAACCCATAGGGTGGGCCTGGTTTGGGGGATCTGGCCTGTCAATCTCCCTTTTAATTAGAGCAAATTCACTTACATTTAAGGCAGTAGTGAGTGAAGTCCACCATCTTTTTGTATATTGTATTTTTTTGTGTATTGTATGCTTTTGTTCCTTTATTCTCCCTTTACTGCTTTCTAAAAGAATGGTCAACATTTCTCTGCCTCTCTGGCTCTTCTGTTAGAGAGTTAGTAGCACCTTTTTGTGCTGCTCTTCCTGGTTGGTGATGGTCGTAGCTCGTGTGCTTGGCTCTGGAGTCTGTTGGCTCCACCTTCCAGAAGCTGCATGGCCCTCCATATTCTTGGAAGTTCGGTTCATGGTCTCTTGACATCTTTTCTTCATGGTAAACTTTATTTTCAAGATTATATATTTTGTCTTCATTGCCTGAAACTCTATCTTCCATCTGTTGGTGATGCTTTCCGTTGAATTTTTAATTTGTTTTATTGATTCCTTCATTCTGAGAATTTCTTCTTGGGTGTTTTTTTTCAGAACCTCCATCTCTTTATTGAGGTGATCTTTCATGTCCTGCATTTCCTCGGATTTCTCTCCTCACAGCGTCCTTGACCTCGCAGGTGGCCCTGCAGAACCTAGTTCCACCCCATGCCCTGTGCTCTTCTGCAGGGTGTCTTCTTGCCGCGTCCTCTCCACACTGACCCTGTGGACTGCCCACTCCTCTTGCATCCTCACTCCAGGCAAGGGTGACTTCCGTTCGTCTACACAACTGAGTTAGCAATTACCTCACTCAGATTTTGTCTGAAAACAAATGTATTTGCCTTATTTCTGCTCAGGATAGAATTCAAGACTGGCCGTCCTATCACCCCAGCACCTTAGCAGTTGTCCCACTGTCCTCTGTCCCCATGGGTTTGTCGAAACCCAGCTCTTATCCTTATGGTGGCTTCTTTGAAGATGATGTCTTTTTTCTCTGATTTTCTTAAATAATTTTTTATCTTGGTTTTCAGCCATCTGTGTTGTGCTTAGCTGCAGTTTTTACTTATCTTTAGAGAAGACAGAACTTCTTGAACCTGGGAGTCAATACCATTAATCAGTTTTGGGAAATTCTCAGCTTTTTTCCTTTTTTCTTTTTTCAATATTGTTTTCTCTGTTCTCACTCCTCCTTTCTAACCACAGTTCCATGATACCAACCTACCATGGGCCTGCGCCCTACACATATTTCTTGTCCTTTCCACTCTTTATTACTTGGCTATTTCCTGCAGATATAGTTTGGGATTTACTAATTTTGTCTTCTGCTTTGTCCTGCAAAAAACCAATGAGGTTTTTCTTCATCAAAAATACAGCTCAACTCAGAATAGTTAAACTAAGGAACAAACCTAGGTGTCCTTCAACAGAAGAATGGATAAAGAAAATGTAGTATACATACACAATGGAATGTTATTCAGCCTTAAAGAAGAATGAGATTGTGGCATTTGCCAGTAAATGGATGAGCTGGAGAATACCATGCTAAGCAAAGTAAGCCAATTCCCAAAACCCAAAGGCCAAATGTTGTCTCTGATGTGCAGACACTAACCCACAATGTGGGGTGGAGTGGGGGGGCGCACTAGGGAAGAATGGAGTTACTTTGGAATAGGCAGAGGGGAGTAAAGGGAGGGGAGGGGGTCATGGAGGTAGGAAGGATAGTGGAATGAATCAGACATTATTACCCTATCTGCATACATGACTACATGACCAGTGTGATTCCACATCATGTACAACCAGCAGAATGAGAAGTTGTACTCCACTTATGAATGATGTGTCAACGTGCATTCTACTCTCATGGGAACAAATAGAACAAAGAGAAAAATGTGCTACGGCTGGGCGCCCAGGCACAGTGGTGCAGGCCTGTAATCCCAGCAGCTCAGGGGGCTGAGGCAGGAGGATAGTGAGTTCAAAGCCAGCCTCAGCAACTTAGTGAGGCCCTCAACAATTCAGTGAGACCCTGCCTCTAAATAAAATATTAAAACGAGCTGGGATGTGGCTCAGTAGTTAAGGCTCCTGGATTCTATCCCTGGTAGAAAGAAAAGGAGGGAAGGAAGGAAGGAAGGAAGGAAGGAAGGAAGGAAGGAAGGAAAGAGGGAGGGAGGGGAGAGGGGGGAAGGAGGGGGAAGGAAGGAAGAAAGAAAAAAGAAAGAAAAACATTCTGCAGGCTGGGGGTTTGCTCAGCAGAGTGTCCTTGTGGGCATGGGCTCTGTCCCAGTGCTCACCCCTAGGAAAGAGTAAGGGAGGAATAAGTCAGGCTTTCCTGTAGGGAGGGGAAGAGACTCCCACAGGCAGGTCTGGGGGCAGAGGCCACGGCCCTCTGGGCACTCTGCGCTCTGCGTCCCCTGAGGCCTGCTGGAGTTCCTGGCATGCCCTGCTCTGCTGCAGTCCCTGGGCTGGCTGTCCCCCTCTCCCACTGGGTCCTCCCACACGGTCGTCATGAGGGTCGAGTGCTGGAGTTCAGAGGTCGAGGTTAGGCTCTAGGGTGTTTGTGGTGGTCAGCCATGGACGCCGTCCCCTGTGGACGTCCTCGGCCTCCCTTTTCCTTCATCTTCTGTAACTCACGCTTGTCTCAGGTTTGGCCTCGTGTGCCGCACGCTGCCTGTTAACAAGCCAATGTGGGGCTGGGCGAGGACATTTCTGGAGGAGGGGCTCCACTGCCCACCCGGTGAGGGGTGAAGATCATCCTGTCCACTTGGCTGGGCTGGACCCCTGTGGGGCACTCTCCTCCACATGCGGGTGGCAGAGGTCACGCCCTCTCCCCAGGAACCTGCACCCTGTGGAGCCCAGGTGCCACTCAGCTCACGCAGCCCTTCCCAGGCCTCCCAGCACGGGGCGCTCTGAAGCCTCCGGCTTCCCGGGCCGGGTCCTCGCAGGTGCTTGCCACTCATCCTGCGCAGAACCATCTCTGTTCCCAGGTGCCTAACGATCACTTTAAGTGCAGCTCCTGCACTGGCTGTGTTAAGACCACGCACGAGCAGAAGGTGCGGCTGCCACTCACTTGGTGTGACCCCTGCCCTGCTCATGCCATGCCCTCCGCCCGTGTGTGTTGTGGTCCACTGCTGCCCCTTCTGTTAGCTCCTCGTCCATCGCAGGTTGCTCTGTTAATAGTTACAGTTCCCTTTCCCTTCCCTCATAACCAGGTGGCGATTCTCTATTCCTTTTTTCTTTGGATGGAACTCAGAGGCACTGGCCACTGAGGCACATCCACAGCCCCATCTTGTATTTTATTTGGAGACAGGGTCTCACTGAGTTGCTTAGCGCCTTGTCACTGCTGAGGCTGGCTTTGAACTTGTGATCCTCCTGCCTCCGCCTCCCAAACCACTGGGATTACAGAGGTGCACCACGCCCCTGGCTCTCTGTCCCATTTGGAGTCGACCCCCATCTGTTTTCTGTGCTTCCCACCCCAACCTTTCACTTCCTTTTCTTCTCCCCAACCTTGGCCGAGGCCTAGAAGACCTCTCCCTCTGCCCCCTGCCCTGTCCGGGTTTTCAATTGCCAAGTGACAGAGCCCCTCAACGCTGCTTGAAAGGTGCTCCCAGCCTGGTTAGGGAGAACACTCTAGAAGCCCTGACCCTGTGACTCAGCCCCCAACCTGGCCTGCTCCTGACGAGGCCTGCGGTCAGCTGCTTCCCACCTTGACCCCTGTGTCCCTGAGTCCTGGGTGGCGAGTCAGGTTGGCAGCCTTGCTCCCTGTTGGCACCCAACAGGTGGCACCTGCTGCTGTGTCTCCTCTAGTGACCATGCCAGTCTGTCTCTGGTGCCCTGGGGCTTCTGTTTGCTGCCCCTGCTCACACTGTGAATGAGGCCTGTCCAGGGTGAAGGCCAGGACCCCAGCTATCAGCTGTGCTACAGGGGTGGTACCTGGGTGGTGGCTGCAGCTGGGCCAGCCTCACAACCAGCAGCAGTGGCCAGTCCTTGAACGTATTGAGGGCGATTGGCAGAAAAGGCTGGGGACAAGTGGGTTTGCTGCCCACAGCCGCACTCCCGGACCCTGTTCCCTGTGGTGGCACCTCAAGGCAGGATGCTTGGTGAACCCAGGCAGCTGCTGCAAGGGTGAGGAGCACAGGGCCCGAGAAGCAGCTGCCCTGTCCTTCCCCTGGGGACCGCCACACCAGGCCATGACAAGGGGGGCAGCACCTCAGGATGACAAGCATTCACGTGTCCATTCTCCTGACTTGGCCAGGGGAGCATGGCCCTTACCTGATGTCCTCAGGTTCCTCAGAGTCCTGCACTCAACATGAGCACCAGGAAGAAGGGCAGACACCAGCAGCTGTGGGCGGCCCAGCCCGGGGCAGGGCCTCTGGCACCTCTGTACCTTGCTCCACCCAAGTGTCAGAAGGACTCCCAGAGTACAGCCTGGGTGGCCCTGGGACCTGTGGGTGGGGGTGGAGTCCAGGGTGGAGTTCTCCCCCAGGCAGCTTCCCACACCCTGGCCAAGGACACCTTGCTCTTTGGGGGGAGGACCAGATGGGGTCAGGGCCCTCATGCTGACTAGGTGAGATACAGCTGTGCCCGTGGGTGCCCAGTCT